TCCACCAATCACAGCCAGCTGCCACGGTGGCTGACGTCACAGCGGCGAGTGGCCATTGTTTCGCCGCAAGTGGTACCCCGGAATGTGAAGACCGTCGTCGTCGCTCGTTCGTCGTCCCGTACTCATCCTACCGCCATCGCTGCTGCCGCCTCTGCTTGCTCATCCTTTCACGTTTTCCACGCTCACCGTAACCGAGGGCACTTTTCCGCTGACGAATGCACAAATGGCCACCTGTGTCAAAAACGTACTGTTACACATTCGACAAACCAGCCACCACCGGACGCGCATCTCGCAGACACAAGGCAATATTACGACATTTGCATACTTTATCGATGTCAGAAACTTTACACCATGTTACGCAACACTCATCTGTACACTTCAGCAAAGTCCAACAACAATTGCTACACCACCATAACGCTGAACTATTCCAAGACCACATTTCACAGCTTATTGCACGACCCCTTGCTCCCGGAAGCGAGACGATTAAGTACACAACACCTGCATGATATCTGAGCACGTACAGTGCTGGATGCATCTTGCATCATTCTGTCCACTAAAACCACCTCGCGCTCATCGCATGATGTTCAAGAAGTTGGTGCTTTTTATATGCTACCGTATGAATATTTGCACCGCCACTGACATTTAGGAGAGATGGGTATCGCCCATGAGATCATAGCTTCTTTCCATGCAACGATGCAAATATTCATCTCATTTCAGCATGATCAATGAAATCCATCTAATCCATACCCAAAACCACCTTCTGGCATTTCATGGAGACTGCTCTCCGATGATGCGCTGTTTTAATGTTGTTCATGTCGCCACGCCAATAACAAAGTAGAGCGAACACAAGCAGCGCTTCCCGTAAATATCGTTCGACTGTGATTTAAAGCATCGTACGCCAGGACGAATTATAATGGAGCAGTAAACCCATAGTGGCTATGGAACCATGAAGACCCATCATGACCCTGAGAAGCACCCAGGAATGGAAAGCACGTTAATGTGGCCCCTTCTTGCCAAAAATCACACTACAAGGCTTCCGACAGTAAGCGCGATGGACAGATGACGTTGCACATTGGGCACAAGTAAATATTATCCTTTGCGACAAATCATTAAGCAATGTTTAAAATAAACACCGTTTCACAACGTTCGTCACTGCTGCATTCAGTAACATTACCAAGCATAATGTTTTCAAACGAGAATTTTAATAAATCGTTACGTCATAGCCATTCTTTGATCTTGGTCTCTTGCTACCAAGAACATTGCCATGTCATTTTTTAGCAAACACTGCCTGACGGCTCATTTTCGTCTAAGACGAAGGACTCGAAGAAGTCATCATGTGGGATGCACGAACTCATTGGAGAGCGAAATCAGCAGAGAAAAGAATGCGGAAGGGGTATACTTTAACCGTTCTTAAACATCGTTACTCGACAGTAAACCGCCACTGCGGGGCAGAAAAGCTGTTAAATCAGACTGCCCTATCTTCCACGATCTCAGGCGTTGAATGTTGATCTGCTACTGTGGCCAAGGAGAACAAACCAGTGGTTACAACACAAAGAACAGTGGAGCGACTGAATGGGCAAGGTCTCCCTCAGGTGAGAGATTCCTAATGTGCACATTCGACATTAGACTAGATCAACGACTCGTAGAAAAAATGGGACGGCCACGCATCTCATGCGAGAACAAGTTGACATCAAGATATATATTATGAATCAGACTTTAGGGTACTTTGTATGAAGTGGATTCCAGTGAAAAATAAACATCTCATCGGTTGTCCTACTACACGCGTAGACGACCTCTGAATGGACAGAAATATTTAACCATTAATGCAGACAAAAAAAGGGAACAATGTGTGAGTGCTAATTAGCAGTTTTTGCACGCTACAAACGAAACCTAGTTAGACGAAAAGATTTGAACGACTCTTCGTAACTCAAACTCTGTTTCCCTTTAAAGATCAACCAATAGAAGGACTGTTATACAGATGATGTTGCAAATGAAAACAAAAGTATCATTTAGGCCAATTCTATTTACTCCACGAAAGCCGCACAAGACCTAACAATATGGCATCCAATTGGAATTCATTTTTCTACCTTCTGAACAGAAGTTAAGAACTCTTTCTCTTTTTATCTCTCTCTGTCTCTTTCACCACACACACACACACATACACACACACACACACACACTACTAAGTACTTTAGGCCACCGTCGGTTCTTACGCCGGTAGTAAATTTCA